ATCCCTTCAACGGTGGTGGCGAAGAACTATGACCACCGGAGAGGGAAGTAAAGAGAAAGTTTCATATCTACTAGGGCGAACTCTGTTGGGAGAGATGCGGTCACGCAAAGGCTTTCCCTGTTTATGTTAATTATGCTCAATAACCATAAAAAAACATAATTTATTAACTAACCAATTTACCTTTGATTTTACAGCTATTATTGCTCCACGTAAATCACTTCTTGTGATCAGATATATGAATATTCGAACAATATAGCAAGCAAACATTGATAACGTGTTGCATCATTAGGCATGAGGATCTTAAAAGCATTTATCACAATGTGTGTTGGACCCATTTTAGTGGTGTCTTTTAGGTAATCATACAAAGGGCATGAAATCATACAAAGTGTATAACCTTCGTGTCATATTTCTTCTTTTTTTGAAAATTTTATTTTAACCATATTTATGAAAATTAAAAAAGTATTAAAATTTATAGTTTTTTTCTTTATTAATATACTAAATAATATTTTCACTCTAATTACTACATTAAAAACATTACGATCGAAACTGGAATAAAATTCTGCATTATGAAATAAAAATAAAGTTAGAGAATGACACTTTTTTTTATTGAATCAACCAGGACTACTGACGGGGCTCCTTTTTTTATAAACGGAGGCAATATGTCCCATTGTTGTAAGAGATTATAATTTTTTTTATTTGTCGTCTATTTATGGGAGAATAATATCATCTATATATTAATAGAGTAAACACTACATGAAAATCTTAGATGTCGTCCTAAGAAGGTTTTAAGGAATTCATTTCTTAATAAAAATTATTAAAAATTCTTAATAATAAATATATGGAAATAATGAATATATGGTAATTAATATAGAGAATTTTATTTAAGGAATATAGAAAATATTTGAAAATATTTTCTTTTTTTTCAATTATACTAGATATTTTTGAGCGGGATTTAAATATTTAAAAACAAAAATTCATGATTATTATTAATATATGGGAGAAATGAAAAATAACAAAATAAAATATATTTATGTTTGATGAAAATTTAGTTTTATTATATTGATGCACAATACATATTATTTTTGTACGATTACAAATATTAGAATACACATCTAAATATTAAATTCGATTAAAGACATATTTAATTATTTGATCTCACGCTTGGCGTGAGTCACAATACTAATATAAAGAAAACTTCCAACTTACAACAATTACCAATATTTTTGCCTTTTCACAGAAAAGTAGGTTTTACGAGTTAATGAAGATGAAAGTTGATTCTACTCCGGTAAACATGTGTACGACTATCAATTTTAGGAAAGTTTGAATACCACCAGAATTCTTTTTTTTTTAACATTGTATATTTA